CTTCCCCTAGGTGTCACTCGATCGGAGAGAAGACGTAATGTCCTTTTTGTCTCTCTTTTTTGTGTGCGGAGTGGCAATTAATAAGTCGCGAAGAGAAAGACGTCAAAATGCTAAATCACATAAACTTAAGAGATATAACAAATTGTTCGACTGATTCGATTCTCTATGCTTCGCATCGTCGTGTACAAATATTCTATACCGAGTTCTGCTGCTTATGTACGTTCATTTTATGGAAATATTTTCTATCTGCCTATGTAATTCGTGCATTTATCTTGGATGCTTTGTCTGGCCTGTCCTCAATCTTCCCGCAGCCTTTACTGGTGAATGCTAGAACACAGTGGAAACATCTGGGGCCATTTTCTCCTTCCTGAAACTTTCCTTTTTAACAGGAAATCGATAAGATTTATGGAATGGGATATCTCTCTCATCCTATAGCTGTATTTTCTGCTTTTAAGTTTCTACTGTGTACAAACACGGAAAATGAAGGTTGTGATATTGATAATGCATATCTGCATATACTCAATCATTTTCTCGGTAATTGACACATTTAGCATAAGAAGCAATAACAATAATGATGATAATTGAATAATAGTAATTTATAGTGATAGCAATTATTAAGCAATAGATCCAATTATACTTTAATAAGCATAGAACACCTAATAATCTTGTGTATTGTTACATCGAGTCATAGTAAATAATGATTAATAAGGATTGTGGCATCCAAAGCTCATAGGCCTAAGATACACTACCTGCTTTGATTATAAGTGCTCATTAAAATCTATATATTTCCTTGAGTTATCCTTCTAATCAACTGACAAACAAACAAACTAACTAAACCAACGCGACCAAAAAAATAGCTCCTTGGCGAGAAGTAATATTGAATATAATATTGAATACTTAATTGATAATACCGTAATAAATAGGAATTATGCCATATTGATAATGACATGATTATCGTTATATTATGATACAACTAATTATGATTATGATAATTAACACTAGACTACCACACCATTGGTTCCATCACCCTGCGCGTGAAACACCCAGCCATAATGATAATGATAGTAATGAAGATGATGATGATTATCAATAATAGATAATAATAATAATGTAATAATAATGATAATAATAATATAATAATATAATAATATAATAATAATAATAAAATAATTAACTTACACAATAAATAATTAATACACATTGTGCATAATGTAATCAATAACTAACAACCAACAACAATGTACTACATAACAATAGTAGTAGTAATCTAATTAAGAATGATTTGACTGATATGATCATGAATCTCTATCCTATCAATAATCAATAACAATAATTAATGTTGAGCATGAGGAGTATGATACATAATTGATAAAGATTCTAGTATTCTTATATAATCGATCAATTATTCGCACTACGTAATGATAATGAATGATAATATACTCTCGATAATCAATAATAACAGACTCTCGTTCAAGTTCTATCTCTCATCTCTACTTCGACATAACACACCACTACACACACACAATCAGACCATCTCAACAACACATCACAGCAACTACACTAAACATACATCTATCAACAGCAGCATCGCAACACTACACACATAAACTCACAGACACAGCATCACACTCATGATATAAATAATCGATAAAAACAAATAGTTAATAAAAAAAAATTAATACATAATGTATGACTATAATGATAACCAACAATCACAACAACAATTGATAGTATAAATTAATGAATGAATTCAATTAAATACAATCATACAGATAATAATAATGATTAACGTGAGTTCACATTTATTAGTTATATATTATTTATTAGTTAAATAATGATGCTAGACTGGATAATGAATAAATTAACAAGATATTATGGAATAACTCAGTTAATTTAGATAAGTGAATAAGTATTAGAATAATACATAACATGATATTCGCTATATAATAACATGATAGTCAATAAATTAATAGAATCAATAGATATAAATGGTAATAGATAACGATGGTAATAGTGGTAATGAACATAATTATTGATAATAATGAGTAATATATATAGTGATTCTAATAAGAAGTTAAATATAAAATCAATAAGGGATAAATAATATTATCATCATTATTGTTTGTAATTATTATATGACATAATTTAATATCGCAATATTATTGACTATGTTGTATGTTGTGCACTTAGGTAGTATTTTATTATACATATAATTATCTCTTAATTCAGTGATATAAAATTATTATTATATGTTTGCTCATTATGTATTTTATTGATTATATATATCAATATGTTTACTATTGTAAGTTGTATTTAATTGTTTTCGGTAGAGTTGTTGGAGTTATTTGTTCATTTGGATGTAGGTGTATTCATCATAGAATGTTAATTTCCTGAACGTTCTTTTGCTATATACTTATATATTAAATCATTTATTATATATTTTTATTATTAATTTATTATATGCTCAATTTTAAGCTTATCAGATTATTATATAATTATTTAATTTTTATATTTATGTTTTTATAGCATTGTAGTACATTATACTTATTCAAATTTACTACTTAAATACTAGTCACTAATACACTTTTTGTATTTTAACTCTACCATTAATATTATAATTATTTTTACACTGTGGTATTTAATATAAATTATTATGTATTATTATCTATTAATTAATGCATTCAATCACTATATTGTTATATACATTATTTTGATTAAATCATTATAAGTGTGGATTATCATACTTATCCTCTCTGAATATTTGTTGTTAGCTTAATTGGTTAACTTTATTGTTATTAATCATGATGTATCAAATTATTATTAGTATTGTTGTTGGCTGTTGTTGTTATTAATTGAACTCAGAGTCAATTTATTTAGCCTTTAACGTTTATAATTAAGTATAAATTGATGATGCAACACTCTATATTTATTATTATTATTATTATTATTATATATTAATTATTAATATATTATTATATCATAATTATTAGTTATTTATCTCATTAATTTATTTATATTATTCTTTCTATACACTTGAGATGCATTCATGCATTACAATTTGCCCCTTAATTATTATATAATAGGAATCCATCATCATCATGCATTCTCATCAAGTATTACTTTATTTATTCTACATCATATTATATTATTAATGCAATATTCATTATATATTATCATATAGTTATATAACGCATGATGTTGTTATATATGATAATGTGGAACTCTGGATTACTAAATGAATTAGATATGCAGTGTGTTATAATTCATATACCGATTCCGCACGCATAGCCTTTTTTCTGTTTGAATCACTGGATAATATAACTACTCTACGAGTGTGTGCCTCTGTATATGATCAGTTTCAATCTGCGTATTAAAAATCATCACGTAGCATAGCAGGCCATAAGTATTCGCTTTTTGTGCCTATGACTGTGGGATTGCTAGACAGAGTACATGGAGATCGATGTTACGTGTTTACCTATAGCGGTGATCGATGGATCGTGAAGTTGTATAATCCTATTCTGGGATGAAGGATCACACTTAGAACATTTTGATTACTCTTAAGGGATTTTGGTGATATATTTTTACTTAGAAGATTCATAAATTCTAGCTTTTATTATAATATGTGAGATCTCTGGTGTGGCTCAAGATATAGGAATTTAAGACGCTCGTGATTTCTGGTGGTGATCGGTATACTTATTCATCTCCAATATTCTTGAGGTGTCTGGGTGCGAATTGTGGATGTTCACTTTGTATTAACTGGGTCGGTGGGATTTTTTATCTCTCAGGTGTGACCATGTTGTGACATTAGGGTAATCTTTTTCTTGCTCCGCTAGATTCTGGATGTTGGTAGTTAATTGTAGACGTAAGTGAGTATGGTCTCCATGGCATTATTAAGTAGATTATCAAAGCGCGCAGACCTGTTGGAGTTCTGCAGTGAGTACTAGAGAGGGGATGTAGAGGGGCTATTAGCAATTTCAAGTGTTTCAAGAAGAGAGGGCAGAACAGGCTTCAATTCTTCTTTCACATTTGTTGTTGTAACATGTAGTTTCTTTGATTCTTCGCATCTGTAAATTTTGTTTGTATCAATTGTTTGTGTATGCCTATAGAAGTTTTGCATTTTCTTGGGCGTATCTGTAGCATGTGGTCTTAATGTAACTCTCCGCCACTGGTGTATGCGATTTCTGTTAACATGCTGTACTGCGTTTGTCTTTTTCCTTTCCGTGTAGCCACCGCATAGCGTAGTGCATGTAGACACACGCACACGCATCTGCAACATGTCCGCACACTGCCCACTCTGTACTGTACCCTTACGAGAGGTACTGCTCTCTCCACTAACGTTATCTCTTTATGTTACAGCTGAACCCCCAGCACACCCTCCCCACCATCAACGACCAAGGCTTCGTCCTTTGGGAGAGGTATGTATGCCTTTGCCTCCTCTACAGTGTCTCCGTCGGTCTCCGCAGTACTTCTACCATGCTTCTTTCTGTGCCTTTTCCACGCATCGTTCATGTCACTTCCATGTCTTCGCGGGCCCACCACACCACCTCAAAGAGCCCCGTGGCACTGGTTTTGCCCCATGCTTGTATAGGTTCGCAGACACGATGGCGCCGTGACTTGACAGGCCGTCCATGAAGGGTAGTTGTATGTGGTCGTATAATAGTAAAAGCAAGTCAGTGCCACTAACCAGGGCATGTTGGCGAGTGGTGCTGGTGGGGCCCGCAAGAGCATACGAAGAGAACACCGTGAAAGTGTCATGAGTTTTTCCATGTGTACAGCATATCTTACACCTCCTCGTGCACAGGTCACACTGAGGGCTTCTCCCTCCCTTCCCGTCCTGCCGGCTGGTCAGCGCAAGGAAGCTGTCGTGGGAGTGAACACAACGCCGTTTTCTCATGTTTGCCTTTATTGTTTTCCTTTATTGTCTGTCACTGCCACCTTCTCTGATGTACATGTCGTTTGTTCAGTGTTCTAACTCTGTTGTCTCGTTATTCTGTATACAGATGAACCCTCAACACACAGTGCCTACCTTCAACGACCACAGTTTCATACTATGGGAGAGGTTAGTGATCTCCTTCTGGAGTATTTTTAGCAACCGTATTTGAAGTGGACGAAGCAGTGGTCCTTTTGACGGTCCGTCTCCAAGTAACCAATTCCCCTTTAGTTCATGCATTTTATTTCAATGCCTTTTGCGTCACGGGAAGAAAGGGGCGTAACGATGATAAACACAAGACGAGACACTCACCGGGAGCTCTGCCGAGTTTCGTTTCATAATACGGTTTGAAAATACTTCCACGACCGCGTGTGCACGCTCTTCCTTCACTGGTTGTGCACGCCAAAGGATGGAGTCTTTTTTTATTTGATGGGGTTATTGGTTTCTCCCGTAAGCATGTGGTTCTTGAGAGTGGTTACATTTTTTCTGGAAAAAACAAGCATTCTTCCAACGTTTTCTGTGTTTGATTTGTCACATGATTACTGTTTATTGATTTCCTTTCAGGAGTACACTTAGCATGACTGTGTAAACTAGTTGCACTATTAATATAATAGAATGCATGGAATCTATGGCTAGAAGAAATATTTTAAGAGTAATCACTTAACGTAATATATATACCGTAGTATGTCCAACAAAACTGCCGTTTTCTTTGGAGATATTTCCTCGCATGACCTTGGAGTTGGACGCAGAGAACTAGAGACTTTTCTGTAAGAAGTCTCCACTTAGTTTGTCTTGATTTATTGTCCTTCTGTTCTTTGTACACAGTGTCATTGTCCATACCTCTGTAGCTTAGCTTCAGTTAAAGAATATGGCATACTGGATCATGTGTAGAAGCTGTCATACAATACTGTGTTAAGCATATAATATATCTGTCAAGTCGTCCAAATACGTGCTTACCTATTGCTAGTAGAATTCGTAAAACTTATATTTATAGTAATTGACAGTCTTTAGCACCCAAGAAAATTAATCAATTCGATTATATAAACCTAACTAAACATTTTGCATGAGTATTTGTTACAGGAATCATTTTGCATATGCGTAGTGGACCGAATGCAATAAATAGTGTTTGAATCCTGTGGTAAGGTTATGAAGCTTATTGCATGTTTTTACGCTTGTGTTGTTTAGACTACGATTCACTGAAAGCACGGTGATTGTTTATTGTTTTAAGACAAGCCAGCATGCATGAATAATATTTGTGAGACGTATGATGTTGTTCTTTCTGTGCCCAGTACTCAACTTACATTAACATGATACATTGCAAGGTTTACAGGTATGTCACAATTTATGATGACTTGCACTCTGTAACATCTACCATATTATTTAATCCGGTAATGCATTTTGTATGTGTAACTTTGAGACAGCATACACATTTGATGATAGTTTTTAAAACTGTTATTTGATTGGTAAAGTAAACTGTGTTTTATTATAATTCGAACAATAGTTCGTTGCACAGAAAAAATGGAAAAGAAATACTATAGTTTATCCCTAAAGGCGTTATTTCATAGCCGTTTTCTTTCACGAGGTATCCGTGGAATATCAAGTTTTCAATTTCTTTTGTAAATTGTTCTGTGAAGAAGAACAGGAAGAACATCTGACTTTTCACCTTCACAGTAATCAGATAAAAGAACTTAACCATATTTACACATTTCAAATAACATTTTGTTCTACAAACTGTCTTTAAACCTGTTAATTTTGCGACACAACTGAAGACAGAAAATGTATGATTTTATGCCAACGAAAAGAACACAACTGATAGATTAGAGGCATTCGTAAAGTGTACGTGCTGAATACACATGCATCCTATACCAACGAGAATCGGGGAGATAATGGGAAATAACGATAATAATGTGGTAATCAAGATGATGGTTACGTAATGATAATAGTGGTATTAAAAAAGGATACCACTATTTCTACATCTAAATTAATAATGATGACAAAAAATAAGGATGATAATAGCAATGATAATGATGATTATAATCATGTTGATAAATATGATGGTTACTTTTTTGAGTATGAGAATGAAAATGATAATAGCGATGATGGTAATGATAACGATAATAAAAATCACCATAGCAATGATAATTATGATAAGGGGAATGATAATAACAGTAATAAGAGAAATAATAATAACAAAAACAACTAGAACAGCAACATCCTCATTGAAAAGAAGGAAAGAAGATGTAAAACGAAAAAAAAAAAACAAGCAAATGAAGCCACCCACGTGTCCAGCAACATAACTCAGAATAGACGAACAAGATATCTCTGTTTTTTTGTTTTTTTGTGTGTGTGTTTTGTTTTTTGTCTGTAGTTTGTTACAGCGAGCAGGTGCTATGGAAGCTGAGGTGCGGGAGGGGGGAGGGTCATGGAGTTGGATGTGTGTGTGAGGGGGGGGTGAAACTCCTCCCTCCCCTCCCCCTTCCCCCCTCTCTTCCTCCTCCACTCCCTCCATTGGTTGTTGCCGGCCGTGGAGTCATGTTCTCCGCTCCTCCTCTTTTTCTTCCTCTTCTTCTTCCTCCTCTCCCTCTTTCGCATCATTTTTTCTACTTTATCTTAATTCAACTCTTCTTAGTAGGCCTATTATTTAATTTTTAATTCTTACTTCTCCTTCGTGTGTTCTTCTTCTTTAACCGCTTCTTCTTCTTGTTCTCATCGTCGTCGCCTTCGTCCTCCGCCTTCTCTTTCGCCTCCATCTCCATCTCTATCTAAACTTCCTCCTCCCTCTCCTCTTCTTCCTCCTAGTCCTCCGCCTCCTCTCCTACTCGACCACCACCACTTCCTCCTCCACCTCCACAGCTTAATCTCATCCACACCCCTCACCTTTTAATCCTCCTCCTCCTCCTCCACCATCTTTTCGTCCTCCTCCTTCTCCTCTTCCCCCTCTTCCTACTCCTCCTTCCCTCCCTCCTCCTCTTCCTGCTCCATCTCCTCCTCCTTCTCCTTCTCCTCCTCCTTCTATTCCTCCTCCATCTCATCTTCCTGCTTCATATCCTCCTCCTCCATCATCTTTCCTCTCTTTCTCTTCCTACATCATTTCCTCCTCCTCCACCACTACCATCTCTTCCTCTTCCTCGTCCTCGTCCTCGTCTCGTCTCGTCCTCGTCCTCCTCCTCCTCTCCTCCCTCCTCCCCTCCTCCCCCCTCCCCTCCCCCTCCCCCCCCTCCCCCTCCCCCTCCCCTCCCTCCCCTCCCCTCCTCCTCCACCTACTCCTCCTTCTTTCACCTCCACTTCCTCCATCTCCCTCCACCTCCTCCTCCTCCTTTCACCTCCACCTCCTCACTTCACCACCACCTCCTCCTTCTCCTTCTCCTCCTCGGCCTGGAAACGGAAGTAGCGCTCCCTCGCGGTGAAACCTGCAAGGACCACGAGGCGCGCCGCAGATCCTTGGCCGCAGCGAGCGTCGAGTGAGAGCAATTAGAGCTCGTCCTCGATCTCCATGCCTCTCCTGGGCGGCGGATTTCCAGGATGGAGTCCAGGGATTTCGGAGGGCGAGGTGGTGATGGAGGAGGAGGTGGAGGAAGGGGAGATGGAGGTGGTGGTGGTGGTGGTGCAGTTGGAGGAAGAGATAAAGGAGGGAGAGGCGGTGATGGAAGAGGAGATGAAGGAAGGGAGGGGGAAGGTGGTGGTAGTGGTGCAGGAGGAAGAGATGAAGGAGGGGGAGGTGGTGGTGGTGCAGGAGGAAGAGGAGGATGAGTGATGGTGGTGGAGGAGGAGGAGGAAGTGATGACGGTGGTGGCGGAAAAGGAGAAGGAGGAGGAGGGAGGAGGAGGAGAAGAAAGACGAAGAGTATTGGGAGGAGAAAGGAATAGAGAAAGAGGAGGAGGAGAAAGGAGGAATAGAAGAAGAAAAATGGAGAAGATATACGAAGAAAATGAACTGGAAGAGGATGAAGAGAAGGAGAAGGAGGAAGAGGAGGAGAGGTTCTGGTGGCTCTTCCCTCACTATAGCTCATCTCTGCATCCTGGAGCACTGACCTCCTACCACTTCCCCCCCTCCCCTCCTCCTCCCTTCCATCCTCCTTCTCTCTTACCTCTTCTCTCTCTCTCTCTCTCTCTCTCTCTCTCTCTCTCTCTCTCTCTCTCTCTCTCTCTCTCTCTCTCTCTCTCTCTCTCTCTCTCTCTCTCTCTCTCTCTGTTCGCTGTCCATTCCATTTTTACATTTGCCTTTTCTGTTATCTACTCTCTCCTCGTACACACATTCCCGTTTTTTCTTTCTTATTCGTCTATTTTCGTTCTATTTTACATCTCATTTCATTTTCTTTAGTATTTCATGTTCCTTTTTTTGACCAATGGAAATTTCTCGATATTACTTTAGCTTCAATGGTTCTTGTGTTTTCTTTCATTCTCGATTTTTCTGTCTCTACGCCGATTGTCTCTCCCTACGTTTATCTGTTCCCCTCTTCCACTTGCTTCCTCTTGCATCAGTTCCAACAATTAGATAAATCTGAATTTGACAAACTCTCCCACTACCTCATTTTATCTCATTTCTTCTTCTGTCTCTCTCTCTCTCTCTCTCTCTCTCTTTTTTTTTTTTTTTTTTTTTTTTTTTTTTTTTTTACCCGGGGCGTTCTTTAACCACCGCCCCTCCCCTCCCTATCTCTCCTCATCACGACATTTTTTTTTTTTTTTATTTCCACGACTCCAATCTAACTCCCTTCCTCCCCGTTCTTCTCTCCTCCCATCCCCCTTCTTCTGTTCCTCTATTTCTCACATCTGCTCTTCTCGCACCTCCTGTTCCCTCCTCACGTCTCATTTCCATTTTTTTTTCTCCTCTTCTCTCCCTTTCCCTTTCTTCCCCCTGGTTTCCTTCATCTCCCTCTCCCTCTTCTCCCCTCTCCCCCCCCCCTTTACTATTACTTCCTTCTCCTTTTATTCATCTTTTGTCTCCTCCCCTCCCCCGTCTTGCACCCCCTAGCCCCCCAGCCCCCCTTTACTATTACTTCCTTCTCCTTTTATTCATCTTTTATCTCCTCCCCTCCCCCGTCTCCTTGCACCCCGCCCCCTTCTCCCCCTCCCCTCCCTCCTTCCATTCTCTCTTCCTTCCTCAACGCATCATTTCTTCTCGGGAATGTT